AAACATAAAATTTCACAAAACGGTTCCAGAGTGCTCCAGGCACCGGGAAAAAGTGGTTTAAGGTCATCGAGGGATAACCGGTTCACAAGTGTAAGGATACCTGTTGTGTGTGGAGCGTGCGTCAAGGCGAGCGGGGCCAGCTTTAAAAATTCTTCAAGACGGTTCCAGAGCACTCCAGACACCGGGGGAAAAGTGGTTTAAGGTCATCGAGGGGTAACCGGTTCACAAGTGTAAGCATACCTGTTGTGTGTGGAGCGTGCGTCAAGGTGAGCGGGGCCAGCCTCAAAAATTCTTCAAGCGGTTCCAGAGCACTCCAGGCACTTCAGACCTCTATGTGATACGGCCCGGCTTTGCGGGGCGTCGCGCCTACCTGCATTCGTATGATCAAATGCTCGACTAATACCCGGCTTTTCTCTCATCTGTCCACTTCAACGCTCCTTACCACCACTCCATACACCGTAATAGTGTTGAAAGGAGCAGGTATGATGCTATTGGTCAAAGAATGTTGACCACCTGTTCGGGTAAAAGAAGAGCCTGATACTAGGCGGCTAATGAAATGTGTGGAAGAAGGTAAGCGCGGCGGAGCCGCGCAGTATCCTAGGAGGCGCGCCGGAGTCAGCCGGCGAAGCCGGCTGGTACTTTATTAAGCGAACAAACGCAAGTTACAAACAGCAAGCCGAACGGGCGCAAAATTCCAAATTCATATTTCTATCAAAAAACATATTTATGGTCTTGTTGGAGGTGGTGTAGTAGCAAGTGGCGCGCTTACCACTCGCGCGGCGCCGGGTTCAAATCCCGGGTCGACTCCAGGCCAACCAAGCCTTCTACCCTCCGGGGACGGTAAATTGGTACCAGATTCGTCTGGGAGGATAAAACACTGACTTGTACATCGGCTGGCCACCGCAAGTCATTGTATAGGCCACATCGCATTCAATAAGCCACTACGATTCTGAATGGAAGTAGAATGCGTGCCGCATCCCACAAAGGGATTGATCAACGGCGAAGACTTTATCCTTTATCCTTATTATCGTCTTGTCTGCGGCAGATGATGGGACTGCTCAGCGAGGCTGCGTTTGGCGCGGTGCCAGCCCGTTTTTCTTAAAAACGGCCACTGTTTCATATCGCTCGTATCTTCAACAGCTGGCGGAGAAAAGGTTGGGCAGCGCGCCAGACGCAGCCGCGCGCATCGTCTCGGATACTTATCAGTCGCGTAGCCTTCCACTCTTTCTTTTTTCCTCCCTACTTCCTTCTTTTCCTTCTTTCCTTCTCTCTTTTCTCTTCCCTTTCTTTCTTCCTTCTAATGCTGTGCGAGTAGATACGCTGAGGGAATACCTCTGAACCCTCGCAACGAGAGCAAGTCTGGTTGACAGAAGCTCTGTAACCCTAACGTTTGAGCATGTGGAGGACTTCTTCCTTCTCATCTCCAAGTTTCGGCGCGCACACTCCTAAGGCTTCCTAAAATGAGGAAAGAGTTGAATGTGCTGGAATGCACATTCCTCGAACAAATCCACGAAGAAAGAAACCTCCTCTGTTTTCAACATCAGCACTATCGGAGGGATAGCGTTCTGCAACACCAAATTCTTCCCAGACATTTACAAAACACCGTTCCTCCTACCGCTCAAGGTAATAGATTTCTAT